GACGTTTTGGAAAGGATTGACAAGGACTTAGAATCATAGAATCATAGAATGGTTTGGGTTGGAAGGGACCTTAAACATCATCTGGTTCCAACCCCCCTGCCATGGGCAGGGACATCTTCCACCAGACCAGGTTGCTCAGAGCTCCATCCAACCCAGCCTTGAACACTGCCAGGGAGGGGGCAGTCACAGCTTCTCTGGGCGACCTGTTCCAGTGTTTCCTTCCTAATATCTAATCTAAATCCGCCCACTTTTAGTTTAAAGCCGTTCCCCGTTGTCCTATCACTACACACCCTTGTGAACAGTCCCTCTCCATCCTTCCTGTCAGCCTCCTTCAGGTACTGGAAGTCATGAACATCTCCAGAGAAGGAGACTCCACAACCTCCCTGGGCAGCCTGTTCCAGTGCTCCGTCACCCTCAGAGGGAAGAAGTTCTTCCGCATGTTCAGATGGAACTTCCTGTGCCTCAGTTTGTGCCCATTGCCCCTTGTCCTGTCGCTGGGCACCACTGAAAAGTGTTTGGCCCCATCCTCCTGACACCCACCCTTGAGATATTTATAAGCGTTTCTAAGGTCCCCTCTCAGCCTTCTCTTCCTCAGGCTGAACAAGCCCAGCTCCCTCAGCCTCGCAGGAGAGATGCTCCAGTCCCCTCACCATCCTCGTCGCCCTCCACTGGATTCTCTCCAGTAGCTCCTCATCTTTCTTGAACTGGGGAGCCCAGAACTGGACAGAGTACTCCAGATGGGGCCTCACTAGGTCAGAGTAGAGGGGAAAGAGAACCTCCCTCGACCTGCTGGCCACACTCCTCCTAATGCACCCCAGAATGCCATTGGCCTCCTTGGCAGCCAGAGCGCACTGCTGGCTCATGGTCAACTTGTGTCTGTAATTCTGATTTTAAAAAATAATAGTCTGAAACTGGATTAGGACAGTGGAGCTTTGGGATGGAAAGATTTTCTTTTGTTTTCTACGTCTAGCTGGAGCACTTAAAGTCAGTACGAGCCGTGCGTTGCGTCACCACACCAAAGCCTTCACAGCTGAGGCGCTCAGATGGACTTTGTGAATGTGAATAGTCCATTTCAGCGCAAAATCAGCCAGATTCAAGTCTGATAAAATCTTAAACACTTTTCCCAAGATTACTCCGACAGCGGGAAGCAGTGTTGGTGTAGCTGTTTTCCTTGCTATTCCTGGAGCATCATCCATCTGTCATCTATTCAGATCCATTATTGCTATAGTATCCTTACACCGTTAATAAATACCGTAACCTAACCAAATGCCAGGTCCTTGCCTATCAAGCTGTCCAGTCAGATCTCCAGCTGGAGATCCTCATCCCACCATAAGCTTAGAGGTTGGAGAGGTAAAGGAAACTACTAGCAAGTACGCAATAAACCAGAAGATGCATCATTGTGTGTTGCTCCCCAGTATCTTTGTTGGTTCAACAAGCATCAATCTGGAATGCCAGATCAGAGCTGGAGCCAGAGTGTCTTTGGGAAACAATGCATCTCCAAAGGAAAAAGTAAGCAACTGGATGATTTTTGTACAGAACACCCCTCTGGCCCTTGCAGCAAAGAGCAGCCAAATAATCACTGCAGGCTTAACCCCTTTCAGACCGTTACCTTTGCAAATCTCCTGTAACCCAACATTTCCTTGTTTTTTTTTGCATTTCAGACAGCTCCTTATATGATTTTAATATAGCTCTTTCTTTGCATATTATTTAAGGGTGTCAGGTCAAGAGAAAATTTTCCAGAACTGAAATGGTTTATTTTTACTTGCTCTCCAGATCACAGTTTTTAATGAGCAATTAATTTATTTTTTCCTTTGGAAGTCATTAAAAAAAAAAGCCCAAACACTCAGTAGTTATTAGGACAGATCAGTCTTATGTTGTGTAGAGAGTAATGGATAGATCCAATGAAAATCAACATGTACTGCATTTGAGGAACTCTGTTGGCATGAGCTGTGAAGCTTAAACATTTCAGCAACTGAAGTGGGTTATCTAAGTATATTTTTAAACCCAGTCCTTTGAGATGCTTTGCACAGCTTCCTGCTTGTCCTCTTGCCTCTCTCCATGCAACACCGATCGCAAGCACCAGCAGTGGGGCAGGAGACTGGGAACGGCCCTGGGCACTGGGGCTAACCCCTTCCTTCGGTGTTGCAGGGTCGGGGCAGCACTGGGGGTGCTGGGTTTGCTGTTGCCAGTTCTGTGTCCTGGGGACAGACGGGTGAGTTGCTGCTGGAGCCCATCCTGGATCCCCAGGGATGCTCTGAGCTCTGCGTACTACGGCTTGGTACTCTTTCGTGGCCTGCGAGGGTGGTTGGAGAGGGAGGATGTTGGCAGAGAGCTGATGAAAGTTTAGAGAAGCATGGCAGATGAAGAGAGTGGAGAGGCAATTTTAGCTTGTTGAAGAAATAAGCTTTTAATGTAGTTGGAGGAAGAAAAATTTTTCAGGGAGGGAGAGGAATAATTTAGATGAATACAAGGAGATTTAATGAGTGGTAATGTGATGAAAGGGATAATTTGATATGAATATCTGAAAGAGCTTTTAGGACGTCAAAGCCATTAGTTTGCCAGGAGTAGCAGTGGATGGCTCATCACTCGGGCCTGTATGGTTAGGTTTGACAAAACTTTCATTCTCAGCTTTGGATCAGATAGCATCATGTCTAAGATACGGACATTTCCAGCTCTTTCTTTTAGCTTTAACGTGGTTTCTTACCATATCTCAGCAGCTTGGGTCTCTACAAGTGACCTTCATTTTTCCTCATGCAAAGAAAAATAAACTCTGTCGTCTTTGTCACTGGGTGACCAGCTGTATTTAGCGATGCTTTACTGGAGAAATGAAGTGAAGGAGCAGTTTCTTGGTGGCTGTGAGGCTGGTGTGGACAGAGCAGAAATCTCCTGCAGACCGGCAGCCAGGATGAGCAGTTGCCTGCCGGGAGCAAGGGGTGACCCTGCTGCTGCTTACGACCCAGAAGAATCTTGTCTTCATTGTCCAGCCTTGGTACAGTCACGGTCTCATTGCAATCAAATTCAAGCACCACCATTATTAACATAATATCCTCTTAAAATATTAACTGTTCATTCTCTTAAGGCATGAGGCAAAGCCCACTGAAATACCTGGAAGGCCTCCCACTGACTTCAGTAATCTTAATGTTATTGTCATTCTTCCTCTGGAGAAGAAGTTCTATGTAACAGCAAATTAAAAAAGCATTTGCTGTCCCTTTTTCTTCCTGCTGTCCTCCTAAATCCCTTTGTAAACTTAGCATACATCTGAGAAACCATTTTGTGTTGGTTACCGGGACAGTCTGACTAAAACCTGAAGAAAAGCAGATGAGAACCAACTCTGCAAGTCTTCACGTGAAGTGGTCAGGCTTCACCCTCTCTGTGCTGCCCCTGGAAGAAACTGTCACTGGGCTTTATTCACACTGGACATTTGTTATTAGAGAAATAGAGACATGATGGAACACTGCCACAAGATCCATGTCTCTTGTTTTTAAAATAAACATCTTGGCTTTGACTTGACGTTTATTTTCCATAAATGCCTCGGCTTCAATTTGGCATTTCAGCAACAGCAGGAGGCTCTTATC